TGATAATTGTCAAAATTTAGTGCATTTTTTATAGAAATGTTAGACTTATTCTTCTACATAAAAATGAATTGTATTAGTCAATTTTTACACCTTAGAATTGAGCTAAGTTCCTTTGTTTAGAAGAGGACCCTTCATGTTTAATTATATTTATAATGTACTCTCGTTTCTCAAAATTTTAACTAATTCATACTATACTAGGATGGTACTTGCACATATCCCCATTAAATTTCAGGATCATTCTTGGATGCTAAGTAAATAAGTTAATGCCTGCGTTCACACAAACATGTAATCTGCAATCAGAAATTACGTGACCTGCATGAAAGTTGTCTCTAATAATTTTCTTAAGTATGAAAGTTGATGTAAGACACAGTCGTTTTGATCACCTCACTAAGGAAATTTTACGTGACATGACTTTCTTCATACGCGACCAGCTAAGCCTCTTGTAAACGCTTTAACTTCAAGCTTCGCTAACACGGATATTTTTCGTGACTCCCTCCTATTTCACTGAAATGTACCATTGAACCTACCCAATTATCCTGAGAGTGGTAGTTTCACACCGTTGGGTATCAGTACTATGTAGGCGGTTTAACGCGGCAGCGGTTTAGTCACAAATCGTCAAACTCTCACGAAAGAACGCAACTCTATTCCAAGGTTGCCAAATCGACTCAAACAATGAATTAAATTCACAAAAATGTACATGTGCAATTTTTATCAACTTTTTTTCCGATTTTACCATGAACTCTGAGGGAAAATCAGTGAAATTTTCAGGTATAAATTCCTAAGATCCCCCAGGTTAATATGCAATTGGGAAGGGAAATTTGGCAACATTGAAGTGGAGTTACGTTCTTTCGTTAGAGAAACGACGGAATAACGAGTCACGCACGCGGTGACGTCATCATGCATGCGTAGGATCATGCGACTTGACAGTTTTTTTCAAAATTGGACGACCCCCGAGCTCATTAAGTTTTTGTTTTATGTGTCCACCAAAAATTATCAAGATGACGGAGCGGAGATCATGATGCAGGTGTAGCGGTACGGACGGATCCTTTTTTGTATCTCGCTCCTACGTGAGAGAAAGGGAGAAATTAAAGTCCTACCGAGATCCGGACCAGTTTTCCGTGCTTTTATGGCGGTGCGTGGTTTCTGTGGCTAACGATCCCGTATTTTCAGTACTTGACGTCGGAGCATTCATCTCACGAGTTGTTGGATCGACGTTACAAAGACGTTGAACCAACTGTGTGAATACGTGGTATGAAAGCACCGAATCGCGTGGAGAAATGAATTGCAGATATGTTGTTTCTGAAATGAGTCCGACAAGTTGGCTCATTTCTACCTAACTCTAGCCACTTTGTAAAGTATTCAGCATGGATAGTGCCTGCCGCAAAAACTGCCATGAACACGGAGAAAAAAACTTAGTGAATGGGATCCGAAGTTGAGGGCATATATGGATCTTTGAAGTTTTTGGATCACGCATCCAAAAACTTGAGGTCCAATCGCCGAAGTTCGGGTCAGACATCTGAAACTCTTGGTATGTACCGGAGTACTTCAGATGTGTGACCTGAACCCTTCGGTACATACCAAAGTACTTCAAAAGCCTGACCCGAACTTCGGCAATTGGACCTCAAGTTTTCGGATGCGTGATCCGAAAACTTCGGAGATCTATATGACCTCAACTTCGGGTCCCATGCACGAAGTTTTTTTCTCCGTGAATAAGCTTCCTTGCGAATTGTTGTGATTATACGTTCTTGAAAAGTGCCAGACTCACTGTATGTGCAATTGACACACTTCATCGAGATCCAGTAGTCTGGATAAAGAACAAATATCCTTGATGCAAGCGGTTACAATTGGAAGAGGAATTGCACCAACTATGATAATTGAACTTTCATTGCCGTTCATGGGGTGATTCCACTTAATTTATCTCCTCTTTCGGTCAAGGAGACCCCTTCCTCCTCCTCCCCCTTCTCTTGCGATCGCGGTACACTCATCTCATGCGTTCAAAGTTCTCCTTCACTCCTTAAATGAAGTGTATTGCACCACTATCCGGAATAACTTACTCAAACCCATGGTCGTATTTACTAATTTTCTCTTAACAACCAAATTTAATTCGTAGTAAATAGTAAATGGCCCGTATAAAGTGCGTGTGCGGAATACGTTATCTCAAGGGCGATCTGGCCGGGGGTGCCAGGATGCTAAGCACGCCAAAAGTTCTGAAAATGGCTCAGGAGCCCCATCAGGACACCTTCAGGAGCCTCCAAAACTTGGAAAACGCACGTTAAGGAAGACAGTGGCGTAGCGAGGAATTATTTGACCGGGTGGGGGGGGGGAGGGAGTCCATTCAAAAACGTGCCGGTAAATTTACATTATTTTGAGTACGTCCCTGATAATATTTTATGTCTGCACTCCAACTAGGGGCCGTCCCTAAATCACGTAACTAACCTATTACTAGAGGGAGGGGGGTCGAGGAGAGCGTTACGCCACTTTGTTTTTACGTGTTAAATGTTAGGGACCTACTTCACAAAAGCGTGAGAAGGGAGAGGGGGGTGGGAGTACAAAATGCCGGAAAAGTGCGTTACGTAATTTAAAGACGGTCCCATAAGTCGAAGGGCCTCCATCCAAGAAACGGGGCTTCGAAAACGTATCAGCACTCCATGAATTTTCGAGCCAGACCGACACTGCCTCCGTATTCATCACGATTAAAAAGGCGTTGATCCCTCATTCTGCGCTCCAGCGAGGACCCCACTCAGTTCCCGAGAAGCATCAATTAAAAATCCCTCGAAATACTCCACATTCCGAACCCTTCCAGCGTGGAATCGATGAGCGATGAATAAAAAAATATGTAACAAGCGACAAGCGTCAGGCTCTTGGCAGAGCCGGGGAGCAGAGCCCGACAACATCGGGATAAGTAGCAAGTTCAGGACCCGCCGCGGTCGGTCGCTGGGAGAGGGGTGGCGGAGGGGGTGGAGGTGGCCCTAATTGACAATTTACATGGCGGGGGTGACTCGGAAGTTTCCAAGACGGTAGCCGTGGCCCGGGCGAGGGGGACTGCTCCCGGAAACGTCAGTGGCGTGGCGCGCTTTGCGATATATCGATTGTTATGCCATTTAAACCTATGGAAAAGGATCGATAAACTGGGTGTTCGCAGCGAACACCTTAATAATCGATTCTTTACCATAGGTTTAAATTACATACCAATCGATTTATCGCAATTCTCGCCACGCCACTGGACTGCTCCCGACGACGTAGCCTACCGACGGGAACTTTTCTGGATCTAGTCCAACTCGCAACAAGCACTTGCCGTCCGACTTTTAATTTGTTTATTTGTGTTTATTAACTTTTACCCCTCCCTCCCTCCGGTCATCCCCCTCCGGGGTTGGGTCGCGGTTGTGCAGCGGGATTTTTCTCGTAGCGGGTTCGTCACCTGGTCGTTTAGGCACGAGGCAGAGAAGGGAACCTGGATGAAAGGAGAGATTGGGGAGGGGAAGAAAGTTGAGGGAGGAGAAAGAGGAGAGAAGAAGAAGAGGGAAAGAGGAGAGAATGACAAGATAATAGAGAGACGAGACTTGATTCAATCGAGATGAATTATGCAAGATTTAGGAGCAGATGAATTATAAGTGGAGGAGATCAGAAAGTGTCATTTGGCTGATGATCCGTAGGAAGATCGATTCCAATGGCGATTGGGAGTCGCAGAGCGCTCTAGTGCGCTGAGGTAGCGGCTTGATAAAAACGTGGGTTTTAAGTTAGGTTTAAACTAAGAGAAATAACACTATTTTTGACTTTTTGGTACATGCGAGGCAATATTTATCTCTATTCGTCAAATTTTCAAAAAACTGTGGCTTCAAAGCAAAGTTTTTCATATGTATCCAAAAGAAACGTACTCTGCTTGGATTTTCAGTAACTCCAACGTCTTTTGTGAAATTTTGGGTACACTTACCGAAATAAAATGACGCTGTAAAAACCTCATATATTGATTTGGATTTATTGACTTTCCCCTCTATCCGTTTCCCTTCACAGGGGGACTGGGGACTGGGGGTTGTGGTTTCTGCAGTGGGGTTTCTCATGTACCGGGTTTTCAGCTGGTCCTTCAGGCACAAGAAAAGAGACAGCACCCGCGGCCTACACCCTGGAGGAAGAGATGGATACGGGAGGGGGATAAATGAGGAATGAGGAAAAAGATAGAGGAAAAGAGAGGAGGGAAAAGAAAAGAGAAGGGAATGACAAGATAATAGAGAGAGGTGTCTTGATTCAATCGGAATGAATTATGCAAGGCTTAGAAGCAGACGCATCCAAGGGAAAGCTCAGCAGTATTTGTAGCCTCGTGTTTTGCCAGTCAACTTTTATCTCTGCTCGCCAAATTCTCAGCGCTGAAAGCTGTGAAGGAAAGCTCCTTGGATGGATCCAAAAAAAATATTATTGTATTACATCCTAACGGAATACATCTCACTAGATTTCGAAATCAACTATAGGAAGTTTGTAAGGGTTCACAAGATTGGAATTACACTGTCCACGCCTTATCAAAGAATATTAATGTTGTAAATGTGGATATTTTGGCACGAGAAATCTCCGAAAATTTTCAAACCAAACTGAAACTCTTAGTGTTAATGCAGTTTAGAAACCTTGATGTGGAGAAAGAACCATGTTGTGTTCTTGGGTTTTCCACCTATTTTTTGGCACACGGTTCTTTTTTCTACTTGTTTTTTATAAAACAAAAATGTTTGCTCCGCTTATCTTATAATTCATTCCGTAACAGTGAATGGCTAACAAACGATTAAGTCTTATCGGCACCATTAAAATGTGAGCTGTCGAGTCCATCCCGACTACTTTCCATTAACAATTTTCTTTCAAAAGGTGATTTTGTGCAAACTTGAAACTACAATTTTGCTCGGTATTATTTGGTAATGACAATTTTTCTCTCATGAGTCTTACTCGCCATCTTTGCGTATGCAAATTAAAAGTTTTAACACTCTAATGTTTTTTTTTTTCTTTTCTTTTTTCAATTTCAGATTGCGCCACGAAAAGTTAGGAGGGGCGTGGTGTCCGAAAAACGTCGTGACGAAAACCGCCCACGAGTACCTGGAGATCAACTTGAACAGCCTGCACATAATCTCCGGGACTCGAACCCAGGGCCGCTACGCCAACGGGCAGGGCCAGGAATACGCGGAGGAATTCATGATCGAATACTGGAGACCTGGCTTCACGTCGTGGGTCCGATGGAAAAACAGGAACGGAAAACATGTAAGTATTGACTTAATTTTTGAAACATGTACTCACTATTTTTAGGGCGCGCTTGAACAGCATTGGATAAGGTTGAGATTTGTGAAGAATTGCCCTTTTTCGAGGATTCGTTTCGCAGTTACTACGTTGTGAACCCAAGACCTAAAGATTTGAGTTTATTAATACTGCTAGGTATCATGACTATAAAAACTTTAAAAAAAAATCATGGAAGAAAAGAAGAAAAGACTAAATATTTAAGTAGATGTAAGAGAGAAGTAAAGACAGGAAGAAAAATAAGGAATCTCCCTGTTCCTCTCATTCTGACTCTTTCTCGTATAACAGTAACGCGTGATACAACTATTCCAACTCCGAAGTAGCTGAAATTGCATAGACACCGATTTGAAGGAGTTTCCGAGTTATCGCCTCCGAGTAGCCAGGTCAATATGCGTGGAACGTCCGTAAATGTGTCCCTGTCCCTTAACGTTTGACTGCACGGGAATGCGCGATACAATGAATCGTATCCTATAGTGGCTCAATTAATCGTTTGGTTCAAAACAATACAGCATAGCCTACAAAAATAATTTTAAGATCTAAGTTAGAAAAGCTGGAATCGAGGAAATTCCGAACAATTTCACTTTTCATTGTCATATAGTACTCATAAGAATAAAAAATCAATCACTAAAACCCGTTCCCACTGATTACTCGATTGACTTTTAAGGCTGCATGTGTTTACATGTTAAACCGAACGATATCGATACTATCTCAGCGATAGAGGGCGTGTTTGATTTGATGTGTCGAGTACGATCTAATTTTTCGACTTTCAAGTAACTCACATTGTACCGACGCCAATTTGAAGGAGTTTGCGCATTCTCACTATTGAGAGAGTCACTAAAATCTACAGCTGTTGAGTCCTCCTCTTCTTTATATTTCTTTTTCCTCTTCTTCTTCCTCTTCTTCTTCCTCTTCTTATTTCTCCTCTTCTTCCTCCTCCTCTTCTTCCTCCTCCTCTTCCTCTTCCTCCCCCTCCTCCTCCACCTCCTCCTCCTTCTCCTCCTCCTCTTCTTCTTCCTCTTCCTCTTCTTCTTCTGAATCTCTTTCTTTCACCTCTTCCTCCTCTTTCTCTACTTTCCTCTCTCTTCTTTCTTGCCTTCTTTTCCTTCTTGTATTCCTTTTCATTCTATCCCCTTCGTTGTCCTCATCCGACATGTCAGGATCCCTACGACTCAAGTCTATCAGACTAGGGTTAATGACGTCAAAACCCTCCGCTACACCACTTCACCCCGCCAGAATCATCATGAGAAGGTCACCCGGAGATTGGGCAATTTGCCGCAAAGCACCCAGACACTCGACTCGGCTCGGCGCGTGGACGAGCCAGAAACGTACACTCGAGTCTTATCCGCTTAAAATTTTCAATCAAAAGTCGGGGGGAGCGGCGCTAATTGGTCGCGGGAGGGCGCATCGCCAAATCGCCCGAATTCCCGATCATCGAGCGCCGATAATATCCGTTTTATCGAGCGGTTCGGCAACGTCGGCGGGCAGATAAATTTTCTTGTCAGCGATTTAATTGCGACAGAGACGACACTAATCAGCGGCGCTCGCTCGCGCGCCGCGCTCCAGGTATTCCGGGTGATCGCTAATCCGATTTCGCGCTAATGCAGTTCCGATTCCTTGATGAAGTTCGCAGCAGTCGATAAGATCGCGGGCCGTCGCGCCATGTCAGCCGCCGATCTTCGGCCCGCTACCGAGTCGCCAAGTTTCGTCGTTGACGTTGACGTCGTTCCGATGACAGCCAGCGCGTTGCTACATTTAACGCAACGGTGGTCGATAACGAGTTCGTGGAACCGTAACGCGGGATACAATTATTTAAACTCCGGAGTAGCTAAAATTGCATAGACGTCGATTTGAAGGAGTTTTCGAGTTTTCGCTGCCATGGAGTCAGGTGAGCAGACATGAAACGTCAGTAAACGTCTCTGTTGACGTTTTCCCTCACTGAAATAGGTGAGACAATTGGATTGCGCTTAACAGAAAGAGAACGTTCGTGCGGATTCCTTTGAAACTTTCAAGGATTTTGCTTCGTATTGTGCAGAAAATTCACTGAAATTTGCATACAAATTCGCTCAACAACTTTCTTGTAAAAAATTAACTGCCCAGTTGATTTGGCAGAGGCTGATGTGCTGCTGTTTCTGTCTGCTTAACGCGGTCTCGTTATTTTGTCACGGGGGTAGCTTAAATTGCATAGACATCGACTTGAAGGAGTTCTCGAGTTTTCGGTACCATGAATTCAGGTGAGCAGGCAGGAAATGTCAGTGAACGTCTTTGTTGACTATTTCCTTCACTATAATGGGTGATACAATTATTTCACCCTCAAGAGGCTTAAATTGCATAGATACCGATTTGAAAGGGTTTCCAAGTTTCCCCTTGTCAATCGCAGAGTTTTTCCTGTGATGTTTGACGCAGTGGCGTGGCGTGCTTTGCGATATATCGACTGATCGGCCATTTAAACCTATGAAAAAGATCGATGAACAGGGTGTCCGCAGCGAACACCTTAATAATCGATTCTTTTACCATAGGTTAAATGGCAGAACAATCGATACATCGCAATTTACGCCACGCCACTGGTTTGACGTAGTTTGAGGGGACAGACAAAGTAACATCGTCTCAGGCGCCTTTTTTTTCTACACTCCTCTCTCCCTTGAGACGCACCCTTAACGCACATTTTGATAAATCATATCTTTTATCATCGTATTTTCTCTATCATATCGTTTGATGTAGTAAATCGCTAACCGTTAATCATATAATAATTTCATATAAGTGGCCCAAAATTTTGTTTCTCTTAAAAAATAACTCAATGTTTGACATTTTTCTCTTACCGGGAATGTTGCCCTTTATTCCTTTTCCCTTGTAACACGTGGTTGCTTAGACTCAAATCCTCATAAGCGCGTTCCGTAATTCTTGAACACTTGGGGCATAGGTGAGGCGTTATTTACAGGTGTTCCGTATCCTGTATGACTCAAGATTGCAATACTCTCGCAACGAACTTACTTCAGCTCCGAGAACAGTACCAGGAAATCTCAACACGTCGGTATCCGATATTTCTGCCGTTCTAAGAAACAAACATCGTGCGGACATTCAAATTTCTCTAACCGCAGATAATTTTTTTTTTTCATAAGTTAAAGTAATACCATGGCCATTTTTACGCCAGTGAAAAGATTTTCTCCCACTACCACTACGTTGAAAAAGTTATATCTGGTGATAATATTTATGATATATAACTTCAGACCCTAACTCACCTTCATAAAAATACTGTCACATTTCGAAATTTGACATTCTAATTGACTGTGTCCCTATTTTTTCCTATCGTTTTCCGTATAAAATATTGAGTGGCCCATGAGGGGATCGAACCCGCGACCTTCGCGTTATTAGCACGACGCTCTAACCAACTGAGCTAATGGGCCAGATGTGAGGAGAAGGTTGAAAATATGCACAGAAAACCGGCAAGGTATGGCGACTTTCTCTCGAATTTATCAAGTACATTGAACAATTGCGATTAAATTATTTGAAAAAATTCAATGGAAAAAAAGTTGGGAAAACATGAAACTCGATTCCGGCATTTTTATCGAGAATGTTAGCCAAGAAAATCACTATGCCCTGACTTTTGAAGAGTGTTTGCCGCTCGCCATATGCGCATTTTCTTATGTAAAAAAAAAATAAATAAATGAATAAATAAATAAATAAATAGATAAATAAATAAATAGATAGATAAATAAAATAAAAAATAAAATGTCGAGTAAAAATGGAAACAGAATTCGTATGTAAACGAACGTCTTTTCAATCTTACAAACATGATAACGGTCATCTATCTCACTCGCTGATAGCACTGGTTCAATATCTAAGTCGAATGCCCAAGAACACTAATACCGTTTTTCATTTTTACCGAACTTAAAAATAGTTCATCTTGGCTTTTGAAGGTGATAACCCTGGCGAACTCCTTTCTGTAAATAGGCGAAGCCATTCTGACGCTTACGCCGAAAAAATTAGCAAAAAATCCTGAATCTAAAATTTAATGAAATTAAATCTCCAAGGCAGAAGTTGTATCACAATTTATGCTTACATAGGGGTTCATAGTAACGTGTCTGACGCTGAAATTCGGGATTTATTCGGGATTATTAACTTCCGCCGCGCCGTGCCGTACCGTGTTTGGCGCAGTGCGTGAAGTATTCCTACAGTCTTGTAGGCGCTATGCGTTTCACGTCGACCGTTGCTAACCACACTGTATTTGACGCAATGCGTGAAGTATCCATGCAGTCTTGTAGGTGCTAATATGTGTTACATGCCGACCACCGCGCCGGGGGCTTCTCCTTTTCATCTCAAGTCCTCGTCATCATTGCTCTCTGCGCAGCGCCGTTCCAGGCCAAAATTGCGTGTACGATTCTCTTTTAACTCGACTAATTAAAGGGGCTGTCTTTTGTATCACCGAATTATGACAAAAATAGAAATTACTATACTCTCAGGAAATGGGAGATTTTGTCGCCTTTTCTCCTTCGTAATTTTTTTTTCTGAATCCGAATTTTTTTTATAACTACATTTAAAAAAAATTGTAAAATTTGCCGCCATGGGCTGCGGCCCATGTGGCCACCCCCTAAATCCGGCCCTGATTCCTACCCGACATAGTCGACCAATCTCGCATCGCCATTTAACCTATTTCATCCATTTCTACCCGCCAACCAAAAATTTCAACAATCAGGCTACTGCAGGCCGATTATTGAAACTGATAGACAAAGCTATAGACAAAGACGACAAAAGGGATTTGGAGGGATCCTATTGGTGGAAGCGGATGGTGGCAATGGACATAGGAGATAAGTAATGGGCTAACTAATGGCAACCCACCAAAGACCCGACCCTTAGTCCATAATTTTCTTCCTTAGTCTATAAGAACCAACCATGTCAACCAATAGGATCGCTCTATACTCCCTATGTCTTCTTTGTCTATCGCTTTGTCTGTCAGTTTCAATAATCGGCCC